TTCTGTGGAAATAGTGCTTGGCATCCTACCCCTTCTGTGGTTTTTGGCTATGGGATTTGCAGCAGAATTTCCTACAGATGCATGAGCCATTGTTTTAGGCTTCTACTTTTCTATGCCACGTTGCTAGTCCATAAGATGGTAAGATAATATACAATTATTGGCAGTGTACCAAGTTGTTTCATTGTGTGAAGCTCTGGACTGGTAATATGGTTCACATTAACAGTTTAGAGCTGATAGAGTTCAACAGGTAGATTTAAGTCAAGCTCTGGAGTGAGGAAAGTAGGGAAGTGTTAAGAATTTCACCCTTATGAGAGTCTGGGGGCCTTGTCCTTCCTGAATAGCTGTGAACTCCACCTCTGTCAATATCCAGCTGTTGATACTTTTAGCTTGTATTGCATGGGTTGGTCAAGCATAATCATCCGAGTCATGTATTCACAATGTTAGCTATGCTTTAATTGGTGACACTTGCCTATAAAACACCCAGAACCCAAGAGGAACTAGCAGTGGGCTGAAAGTACAGAGGCCAGTAGCTGTGATTTAAACAATCTCACTCCTGCTAACAGTTCTGCACATTTCTGTGCCTGTGATTTCCTGGAGTTTGAGGCCTGCGTTACAGGACTTACCTTACTGATGGACTAGTAGGATGTTGCTTGAGAAGGAGAGAGAATGCTTAAAATAATGTTGAGGTTTTTAACTATAAATTCTGCCTCATCATACAGTCTTTTAGAAGACAGTTATTCACATAGGTGCATAATATGTGCATCCTGTCAGTGAGATTCAGAACATGGAAGATCGTATAAATTCCTCACTAAAGCTGTGGTCCTAGTCTCTCAGTCTGCTTTGCCATGTGCCTGTGAAAACGGGTATGTGGAGCTGCTTGGAGCTGTGCCTAACTTGAACAGAACATACTCCTGAGGTGGCTCTTCTGCTCCTGGTGCTGAACCTATCCCAGGTATCTCTAGGTCAAGAGAGGTTCTCCTCCCCCTCTACTCTGCCCTGGTGAGGTCACATCTGGAATATTGTGTCCAGTTCTGGGCCCCACAGTTCAAGAAGGACAGGGAACTGCTTGAGAGAGTCCAGCGTAGAGCCACCAAGATGATGGAGTGGAGCATCTCCCTTATGAGGAAAGGCTGAGGGAGCTGGGTCTCTTTAGCTTGGAGAAGAGGAGACTGAGGGGAGACCTAATTAATGTTTATAAATATGTTAAGGGTGAATGTCACGAGGATGGAGCCAGGCTCTTCTCAGTGATGTCCAATGGTAGGACAAGGGGCAATGGGGGTAAGCTGGAACACAGGAGGTTCCGCTTAAACTTGAGAAGCAACTTCTTTACAGTGAGGGTGGCAGAGCACTGGAACAGGCTGCCCAGGGAGGCTGTGGAGTCTCGTTCTCTGGACACGTTTCAAAACCCTCCTGGACGCCTTCCTGTGTGATCTCATGTAGGTTCCTGCTCTGGCAGGGGGATTGGCCTAGATGATCTTTCGAGGTCCCTTCCAATCCCGAACATTCTGTGATTCTGTGATATAGTTCTGTATTTTTCCGCTTAAATTCTTGACTCTGAATATGAGACCATGTTTTTAGATCTGGAAGTCCTTGTTTTAGTTCCTGCTAACACTACTGACAGTGGGCACTGCTGAGCAGCTAAGAATGGGATCCAGAGCCCCTGTTGTGCTTTCCACCACTGTCATTTGGTCAGTATTAATGTTAGTGGTTTCCTCTGTGGGCTGGTCCTCTTAACAGATGACCTAGGAAGTCTTACCATTTCTCAAGCTGTATATTTTTATATTGATAGTGATGCTGATGTAGCAGAGGTTTTGTGTGTTTGCTTACAGCACGGCAAATACAGGAAGGAAAGCTGTATTGGAGCTCTGGTCTTTAAAAGTAGTTTTATCTGACCACCTTGGGTTAGTATGGAACTTCCCATTTATTATACTGCTGTGGGAAGCAGAGGGTGGTACCTTATTGTTCTGTGTGCTGTGTCTTCTGAGCACACAAGACCTTTAATAATTTGCCTTCTCAGTTGGAAAGAATCTTTGAAATAAGTTTGGTCTCCCATCTTCGTCCTGGCTTTCTACAGCATCTTTACATAATTTGTAGCAATTGTAGTTGTTTTTAAGAATGATAGAGATAATGGCTGTTTAGCCCCTTGCTAATCCAAGCCTCGCCAAAACAGAAAGACGGCTTTTAAAGAAGAAGTGGCTTTCACTCCTACGGCTAGGTTATTGTTGAAAGGGAAGTTTGTCTTTTGAGATGCTCTGCTGCACTCATGGCCCCAAAATATTCTCATGGCTGGAGCCACACTATTCATGAAAAAGAAAGCATGGAACTGAAGCTGTGTTGTGTCTCCAGAATACCACTTTGTAGGTGAAAGCACCAAGTACAGCACTGTGGGACCAGTAAACTCTGTGTGCTTACCAGTAGCCCGGAAACTGTTACTCTGCATAGTTTATAAGGATTTTTCTTTAAGGTTACAACGTGTTGGGATCTCAAATCCAATCCCTGTAGTTTGATGTTGTTTCCCTAATGATTTCTCCAGCAGAAATAATGTGCACTGCTGTAGGAAGCAAAGGATGTAGTACTTTAATGATTTTTTTTTAGTTTGTTCTCTGAATTCCACCCATAATGTTTTTGAAATATTTAAGTTTTATAATAATTTAGGAGTAGTAGTAGCATCTTTGGTAAACTAATTATCTCAGCAAGATTGATGATTTGAGTTCTCCTTTAAGCTTTTGCAGCCTTGCAAACTCAAACAGCAACAGTAAGACTGGCTGTGCTAATACAGTCTCTACTAACGCAGTATAACTAGTATGGGGTGGAAGGTTTGGCAAAACAGTCCATTCCTCCCATTCTCACCTTACAGAATTCACACTTTTATTTATTGGTGCACAGACACTCTTGTTAAGAAATCAGTTTAAGTTTGATATCAAGTAATACATTTCTCAGTCACATGTTTGGGTTTTAGAACTCCCCTACATGGTATTAGAGAAGTCGGAAGGTTTTAAAAATACAAAGAAATAAATATTTATAGGAATAGTAAAATTTTATTCTGCCTAATTATATAGGACAAAAAGACAAATAAATCTCATGGGCATTATTTCAGCTGTTGGACTGGTAGTTTGTTTAGATGCAGGGTTGTTAATGTCCCTTGTCTGACAAGCTCCATGAAAATATTTTTCTGTTTGGCTGTGAGTCTGAAGAAGCACGCTACATGAGGTGGACAGCTGAAAGGAAGAGATACAGAGGACCTCCCAGGAGCAATTCCCAGGCAAGAGATGATGGTAGCAGCCAGAGTCATCCTGTGCTCCATTGCATGACAGGAGAGAACATGCTGTTAGTTTCCAGAGGGACCTTGCAAGGTGCCTCCACTTTCTTCCACAGCCAGGGGTTTGTTGTGCTACCCTAGTCTACAAGTCCTACTTGAATGGCTTGTGACCTGTCTTGCAGATTAGGATGTGGCATTTTGTTTGGCTTACATTTGTGATACAAGCAGAAGGTCTTTGGATACACATTCATGCAAAGAACCTAGATCCTTCTTCCCTGGCAATAGTAAATCCTGCCCTTTTTCCCTTCTGCCTGAACTGCTAGAAGTCATAAAGAAGCATGGACATCCACAGATCAGCTGTGTCCCTTAGACTTACTTAGGTGTGGGGGCCTCTGCATCACATACTTAAACTGTAGTTCAACACTGGTAGTGATGAATGGCAAAATCAGCAAGTTATTTTTAGATATTATGCTTTACAATTATGATGTAACAAAGGTAGTTTTGTCTGATACCTGCTTATCTGATGCCATCTTTTCCACATAAGCAAGTAGAGGCATAAGGATTCATATAAACAGTATAATTGAAAATTGCAGTTCAGATGTTTTACCGGGTACCTTCTCTTTGCAGGAAATCTAACTTTCTTCAGTGGTGTATTTGGTGTTTTGGACCTGCCCCCAAAAAACTAATTTGTAGAAGTGGTATTTAAGTAGTGTTCCAGAGACTGCCTGGGATAGCCTGCTCAGCTGCTTTCTGTCTTGTCTTTCAGTCTGTGAATAGATATCTCTTGATAGAGGTAGCAATGTGGCAATGCTAAACAAGATTTCTGCAAATAACATTCTACAATTTCTACATGTGATACTTCTGTTTGGTGTCACACCGACCAAGATAAGGCTGTTTGTCAAAAGTCTTGGTTTAATTTGGGTAACAGTGTGTATGTAGTACCCAGATTCACTTTATAGAACTCTCTGCTACAGAGTATTTCTGGAGAGGAGACTTTCATAATGGCAATAATTGAATACTTATAGGGATGATCAAGATGTCCTTAGTTTATTTTGTAGGAAAAAAGAACACTAAAGGCTATGTATCCCCTTGCTCTGGGGAGTAAGCAATCTGTCAGCAAACAAGCTTGAGAAGAAACTTATCTTTGGATAGGCAGCTTGTACTGTTGGAGGCTTTCTTACCTCTTCCTCCAGTTTTTGAGAGACTGCTGCTCCAATCTGATTTGGCAGTTCCTGGAAGCATTGGCTCAGATGTTCAGTATATTGATTATAGACAAATGGGAACAGATCTGTCTGGGCAATGTACTTCTATTAGGCAAGTCTCACGTACTAAGGAAAGCTTAAATTATGTTTGAATTTGGTTGTAGGCAACTTGATCCTTATTGTGCTATACCAGTTTGTTTATAGAGAGAGTTCAGCTTCATTAAAAGCTTTGGACATCTGATGTGGTCAGAGCTTGTGTTATTTTTCATCCAAGTTTCTAACCTCAGCAGTTTGGTTCTTTTGTTCCTCTCCCTGAGTTCTATAGAATGGTTGTATTTTGAAAACACAAAAAACCCCCTGAAAAAAAAACACTTGAATGTTTTCTTTCTGTAATGAATGTTATCTTATGCAATATTCGTGCACTAAAAATTATCAAGAAAAAGTGTGGTGGAGTAGCAGAGGAGGGTGACTTAAAAGTGCTTTGTGTCCTTCTGTTTTAACCTGCATGGTGAATAAACTTTTTTGACTTGAATACACAAATGTTGAAAGACCCGAAGCTAGATGAAGAGTGTCATTCTGTTACACTGAAGCTTGTGCTGGGTTTGATTCACTGCTCTGTTATAGAAGGAACTGTAGCAGAACTTTGTGGTAATAACATGAGGAGCTGCAGAATTAGGACCTCTATCAGTTTTATTACCATTTGCAAAGAACAGGAATATTTTATTTTTATTTTTTTTCCCCATCAGTCTTTTTTTTTTTTTTCTCTCAACAGGGTCCACTCTGTGTAGCTATGAACTACAGCCATCAGAATACACGACAGACCCACGGGCTGCCAAGTTATGTCCTAAATATCCTGTTCCAGAGAGGTAATACTAACATCTTGTCTGATTGTGGGTGGAGGGAGGAGAGATTTGTTGTGTTCATTACAGTTCTTTAGGAAATATGCAGCACAAATTTATTCTGTCTTACAGATGGGTATTTTAGTGTTTTATTGACACAAGTGTTTAAAAGGCATTTTGAAAGCAACTCTTAAAGAAAAACCCAAACTATCCATGCATGTGTTACTGAGAGTATTAAGTTCTTCAAGTATCTTCAAGTTCTCTTCTGTCTCATGTAACTGGCACTGTGCTGAATATCAGCTGGTTTACTGCATTTCACCATATAGCCAGCTGCCTGCCAGCAATGCAGATCAGAGACAGTTATGGAGCACTTTAGGGAGGAAAAAAGGTATATTCACATGCAGCTCTCTACAGTGTTCACTTTTTAAACCTTACCTCAGCCAGTCAGATCTAGCATATTGCTTCATTTTTCTTCTTTCAGTCCCCAAATGACCAATATGAGGATGGTCAAGTACCAAAAAGAGGACTGTATTTTATAAACAGATTGATCTGAATTTTATTCTTTAAAATATTTTGCTAGACTGCTTTTTGTGAATAGGAGAGTAGAGATTGCAGCTCCAGAATCTCTGCTAGCTATGCTGTCTGGAACTGTGGAGATGAGCATTGCTGAGAAAAAAAGCTATCCATTTGCTGTTGTGCACACCCTTCTGTCAGTAATTCCACTCACTCAAGAAGAATCATATTGTGTTTTCTTGAAGTTTATCTTCTCAAACATATTCAGTAGTGGGTTGTAAATGCAGTCTTGCCCTATGTATAGGTTTCTGTTATGGTTTTATTACAATTTATAATTGGGTCGGTTCTAAAAGCTTTCATTTTAAGTGTCTCTTGGGTGTGTTGTAGCCCCTCCAGTGAATAATTTTTTTATGTTGTAATGACAATAAGTAGCTGCTGGAATATTAACTTTTTTTTTTTACTTTTCCACATAGCAGATTAATATTCATTCCATGCAGCTAAGAAGCTGTTACAGCTGTAATACAAAAACATGAAAACTTCAGCATGCATACTAAAAAGACTTGTCAGTCTTAATTTTTGCGAGAATTATATGGATTTTTCGCACTATGTGTTCCCACATCATTCAGTCTGAATGAATATACCTTAATGAAAACAAGAGGATAGAACAGTGTGTCAGGGCTCTAATGACACTACATAAATTCCTCACAAAAACTACCTCAAGAGTTATTTTTGAAAAGTTATTGTGTGAGTGGCGTATTTCCCCTTTTTTATTTGATATGAATAAAATGCTCAGTACGTCTGAATATTTCCTGAGATTGAAAAGTCTGAACTTAATGCCCTAAGGCAAAAAGGCCAATATTGTATCTGTAAACCACTCTGGTTTTCAGATTTTTATAGTTAAATTATTTGAATAAATTAGTGTAATTTGGAGGGGAAATGGAATCCTGTGGCTACAAACAAATGAAAACCTGACGCCCTGCAGGCTGAGGCGTTCAGGGAGCACTTACCTAATTTTCCTGTTTTGAGATTTGATCTGTCAAAGGTGTGAACCATCCTCTGACTCCCAGTTAGGTCCATGGAATGGAGATAGTGTATGCTGTGAGGACTGTCCCTTGATGTTTTCTGTTTCATGACCAGGCTTCTTCATGCCCTTCCATGGACTCTGATCCTCCAGCTTCAAGGCACTATGTCCAACTTTGCCACAGCAGTGCAGTCTGCCAATGCAGCCAGTGATACCTGTGTCTTCCAGAAACTGTGCCTAGCATATTTCTGCCTCAGTATGTGACTATTTAGGTTTGAAATAGAGAACTCTATGGAGGAAAATCTATCCAGCTTTTTCCTCCAGCATTTATCAAACAGTTGTACCAAATGGTGCTGAGTGCATGCTTTGTAGAGATTGTAAAGAGCAGGTAGCAGTGGTACTCCAGCCAGGCTGCACACACACAGGTTACCCTATATGCCCGGGTGTAGTAGAGAGAGGAAGAAGCTCTCCTGTGATATCTAGTACTTGAACAATCAGATGGGTCTCTTAACTTCATTTGAATATTGCTTTAAAAATACAGTTTTTAACATCATCATCTGCTGGCTTGAACTTTACTTGCTCTTGTTCATGATTAAGTATCATATTGTTATTCTCAGAAACATGTAATTCCATTTTGGTATGTAATATAACAAGTTACAATCAAGAGGCCGTGTGAAATAGCACAGGTCACTGAGAATACATCTATTATTGTATTTTTCATTAAACAAAACACCTTACCTTGCCCAGTCATTCAGTCAGAACCACTGAAATAGCAGCCGATCTCAAAAGGTGGATTCTCAGGAGTCCTATTTACTCAAGAAAGCTTGTAGGAACCACTAACCTCATTTTTAAAATTAATTACAACAAAGATAGAAATTAATTATTGCATATGAAAATAGGTAACTTGACATTGTAGTGAAATTGCCATAGCTTAAGGGACATTAAAAGGGTAATATAAACTCTGGTGCACATTTGTTCCTCTGTTGGGGTATATTTTGGAACAGTATTTTAATCCCATTAACGCCCCTTTTCAAAATGGGTATTTTCATATTTGGATGCAGGAACGACAGTCTTTTCCCTGCTCCCAGCTCAGGACTTGCACTTTGTTATTGATATTGGCAACTTCTAAATGCTGTAGGCTTTCTGCAAAGTTGGAATAGTTAACAATCAGATAAACCTCTCAGATTTCAATATTTCCCCGTATTACTGCATATAATGAACTGCAGTACACTGCATATTCCAAAATAGGCTATGTTGTAAGAGGCTGAGAGGATACATGGGCTGCCTTTTAAATAGGGCAGCCATCATTACGGGTTTAGTTTGGGTTTTAACAACTGTGACTAATTCACAATGACTTTGCTGTACTTTAACTGCTGTCTTCATCACTGCCTAACAGTAGACCATCAATATGAGCATCTCCAAATGCATTTAGTTACTCAGCACAGTAAGTTTAAAACCATATAATTTACAATTGTCAGTCACTTCAAGCAGTAACCTAAGTTCTGTTAATTACATGGCTATGGCAGGTGATCATACTTTCTCCTGAATTCTGTACATAATAATGATACACTAATGGTTTTCAGCATCTTGTCCTTTTTTCTCCAAAAACAATACATAGAAAGAACATGCCTAAGGCAGCTGGTTTACTCACTACATGTTTAAAATAACACTTAGAATTTTGGAAATGCTTAGGCTTAACAAATAGTTGCTGAGTACAGAAAAATTGCTGCTTTATAGATCATTGCTGAAATGGGGAAAATGCAAAAGATTACGTGTATTCCTGCTACAGTCTTCTGAAATCACTTATGTAAGGAAGCTTGGGGAGGGTGAAACAAATTTAGAGGTTAGAAGAAAAGACTGACTTACTACAAAATACATTTCTTTCATTGGCTGCAATTATAGGAAGGAACATTTAGTTCATGGAACATGTGTCTGTGGTGTAACTGGGAAGATTGATCACAAGATGTAATAGGCCACTTTGAGATCTGCTATAGTTTATGAGCAAGAAAGGCAGTTACTTAATGGGGAACATTTGGAAAACAAAATTACCCACTTTTAAAGTGAAGTTTTTGCTCTCTTGTATCTTCCTCTGATGGACTTGGTAACAGGTTCTGCTGAACTTTCTGCAAGGTTTAACGCATAATGTCAGTATTCTGGGGGACGATGCTTCCAAAGCAGTTCAGGAATAATAAAAAGTAGAGGCATCTTTGCAAGTTTTGCAAAGAATGTAGTGCATAATTTTAGCAAAATTAATGAAAGGAAACACTGTGATTGTAACCCTCAATACAAGAGCAAGCTTACTATGGGGAAAGACTAAGAATGAATACATTGATTTTTCTTGGCAGCAGTTTTAAGTGCTGATGTCTTTTAGCATAACGTATGCCTGCAAGAAGAGTATCATCATTCTGGAATTTCTTTTGCTGCAAATATGGGCCAGTTTTCTGTTCTAACACATGTGAAAGGCATTGTTTCAGCTGCTGGTTCACCATCTGACACTTGAATGGGAGACATTTAAGCAGAAATAGAAACCTGTATTTTCTGAGCTTTGCCATTTAAGGGTGGGAGGGTAAAAGTTTCCTATTGGACTGTGCACTCCAGCCTCACAGGGTTACTTGTTAGAACGCATCACTTCCCATTATGATCATCCTCATTCCAGCAGCACTTGTGCATTCAACACATGGTTTGTGGTTATGATGTTATGAGGGTGGAATGGTTGCATCTATTCACCTTTCATTTGTGTGTTGATGTGGCATTTATATTAAGTAGGAGTAATTTTTTTTTCTGATTTTTTTTTCCTTGTGTCACCAGTGCACCTATTCCATTCTTCCATCGCTGTGCTCCTGTGAACATTTCCTGCTATGCCAAGTTTGCAGAGGCCCTGATCACCTTTGTCAGTGACAGTAGTGTCTTACACAGGCTGATTAGTGGAGTTATGACCAGCAAAGAGATTATAATGGGACTTTGCTTGTTATCACTAGGTAATTGTTTTTCTCATTACTAGTTATTTCTTAGTACTGCATTAGGAGATTGTTAACACCCTCTAACCACAATATGAGCAAAAAAATGTATGATAGCATAAGCCCTTAGAAAATGGTTCAGGATGCTTTTTTAAAATGTTATTTGACATCTGGATAACATATTCAGAAGTAATATACATATGCATTTCTGTTTTTTCTCCTCTTCCACTGATTATGAGATATAGAGGATGTGTGGCAGCTGACGAGCGAATATTAGTTTTGGTATAGTTAACAATATTGCCATTGTCCTCATTTTTATTACAATATTTACTTTTCCCTTTTCTTATATTAATTTTCTGCTAACCCAAGTCCAAATAAACTGTTTCCAAATAAAAAGGACAGGCTGAGAAGTGCACAACAGCACTCTTCTAAAAGGTAGGGGATTTAGTTAGTTTAATTTAACATGCTTATGAAGGGGTATGAGAACTGTCAGAGGGAAAACAAGAAAGTTAGGTGCCTATTTGTTTTATTGTATGTTACCATCCTTCTTCCCCTTCCCCCAAAGTTAAAAACTTCAGGCCTTTGAAAACCTCAGCCTTGTCTGAAGAGCTGGAAATTCCCAGCAGTATGGAGGTACTGAGTTGTTTCTACAGTTGTGAGATGCCTCTGGCCTGTAGAATGACACATTGCACTACACTGAAGTGCTGTTTTAACAAATTCTTGTGAATTAAGGTGAGATGCTACCCACATATTTACTTTTTCAGTGAGTTTATTTTACTCCTACCAAGTATAAAATCTGAAATCCTAAAATGGGAAGGTCCAGATAGTATCCATTTATACAAGCAGTGTGTGGCTTGGAAAGAAACACTGTAAAACTGTACCAGATAAAGAATGCCTTTGTTTTCAGTCTGTCTTTGTGGGTTTTTTTTAAAAAAAAACAGCAACAACAACAAAAAAACAAACCCACCCACAAAAAAACCCCACCAAATGAAAGACCATTGAGTATCTTTTCAGCTGTATCTGGAAAGCTGTTTATCCTTGTATCTTGACAGCTGCAATCTTTGATAATAAAAGTAGAAAGACTGTTCCAAATCTGATAGCTAGTGGCTCATTAGCACTGCTACTGTTGGGTTAGAGTCAGAAGTTAATGCAGTTTTATGTACAGTTAATTTAAAAAATATTTTTCATACCTTCATAATTAAACAAAATGTATTTATTTTTAAACAATGTGTAAGATTGTGTGATTCAGAAAGCTAGGTTCCAGTGGTTTTCATGTAACTGCTGTACACAAATGAGTATATGCAAACATATGTGAATGCACTTACACACACCACTCACTAAATGTTAGTTGGCTGAGATTGTGGAGGGCTTTTTAATGTGCAGTTCCTGAACTACAGTGGAACTATATGAACAAAGCTTGTTAAAGAACTCATTTGAATGTTGAAAATAAAGTAGTAATTTTTTTTTTACTTTTTGGTGGCATGACATTTTAGAGTACACAGGCATCACATTATCTGCACTTGTTTGACAAGTGTATTTGAGTGCAAATTCTGCTCTGGTCTTTAGGAGATGTGCTTGTGTTACCAGACTCGGAGTTCTATCATGTCTTGCTGTGTTTTGTCATTGTCTAAATACATCTGTCTGTTTGTACACATTATGTCTTATATTTAATGTACCATGTAAATGTATTTATGCTTTCTTTGTTTTAATCAGCAGTTTCAAAGTGAAGGTGTAGAGGTGCCTAGTTTCCTTAACTATCTGTGCAGTGAGTTTATAAGCCTCAGAAAATAAATCTTTATCTAAAAGTTCTGTTAGAAGGCAGTTATCTTAGTGCAGTGGGACAATTAGGAAGGGTATTTCTACTTGAAATAATTGCTGTACTTATTTTACTTTTCTTCTTTTGCAGTGTTGTCCATGATTTTGATGGTTATAATCAGGTACATTTCGAGAGTACTTGTCTGGATTGTAACAATTCTGGTGATTCTTGGATCACTTGGTAAGCCTCGTTTGTCTCCCAATTTCTGAGTGCCCAGTTCTAATTTTTGTGCTCCACGTCCTCAGACCAGCTACAGCCTGCACAGATCTTGGACCATGCATTTCCCTTCTTCTTTCCTTTGAGTTCCTTGCAAGACAAATATAAAAAATGACACCTTTGTAATTGTAGTCCTCTCCCAGAGTGTACGTTGCTCCTTAGAGGTTTGCTGCACTCCATGCTTGGCGTGCAAGCTTCCTGCCAGCCTGTCTCAGGAGAGCCCATATCAGTAATAGGAGATATTCTTCACGGCACTTTTACCACAGCCCTAAATGTTGCCTGCTTCTTAATCTGCCTTCTGAACATGTGAGCAAGGCAGCTAGTCTGGGTGTGTCTGATGGCACACCCACCCACTGGGCATATTCAAGTATGCAGAAATCAAAGAGCAACTGTTGTTTTATGCAGCCTCAGGGGACTCTTAGGATGTAAATGGGTCCATACAACCCTGACAGGTTCATCAGCCCCTTCAGTCCTCCAAGTAGCTCTGTAGGTGTATCTAAGATATGTTCTTGAGGAGAAGAAAAGGTGCTTTTCTAGCATTTCTAATCAAATCCTTGTGTTTCCAGATAACTCTATAAGCCATGCATGACCTAGGTCATGTATGGAATGCAATCAACCATGCCATCTTGGGAATGGCCAAAGATTGTCTTATCCAAAATGATTTCGCTTGCACAAAGATAACCTTCCTTTATCACATTAACTTTTACATTTGTAAAACTTTAAATTTTGTATTACTAAAAGCCAGTAGCACAGTCAAAATGTATGGACAGATGACTGTGGGGAAGGAACAAAAATAGAATAATTAAATTAGGAAGTACTCACAATTCGGTTCTTGCATGACTGCAGGGGATGGGAAAAATAAGATCAGCAGACCATCTATGTCTTTTCAGGATCACTTGGGTTTTCTGCTTACTGTTCACAGGTTCTCTGATCACAGAAAAGGGAAAAAATGGATTTTGTTTTCTCATTTATGTTCTCTTTAGAAGCTGAGCAACTATGTTGAATGGAGTAGTTCAATGACTTATTGCCATCTGTTATTGTGTTCTAAAAAATTGCATACATTACACAGACTGAATAAGAACATGTCATTTGTGAGACATACTGCTTATTCAGTATTTACTGTTTGTTCAGGAGATGCCAAAAGAGCATCCTCCATTTAACTCTTGAACGGAGTACCTTCAGCAAATACTTCTAATCTCTGTGTAAGCTTATGCAGCTGATTAAAAAATAACAACAGAACAGAGGAGGATACTCAGATACTCAGAAGCCCACCTGAGCGGCTGGAGTCATGTATCTTTGTTGTTAGGGCTCTCCATGAACTAGTCCTCTCATGCACTTCGCCCTAAAACGCGGAGTCAGAGAGCTGCAAGTCTCTTAAATGGTCATAGTGGGGTAAGACTGTGAAAAGAGTATATCCACTGGCGAAGAGGGCACTTATCCATTCTCAGAAGTTCCTGTTGAGTTAGCTGTCAGTGCCCTTGACCATTCTGTACCAGACTAGACTTAAAAGAATAAACTGTTTAGCTTCTTTGGTATTAGGTAGTATAACAGCATCACATGGGAGGAGCATCTTTCAGTTCTTTTTTTTTCCCCTCTAAAACACAGGTGGTACGGGAGTCCTGTGGTGGCTCTATGCTAAGCAACGGATTTCTACCAGTGCTGTTGAGAATCAAGTAGCCAAAGACAATCTTCAGGCTCTTCTGATTTATGCCATTTCAGCTACAGTCTTCACGGTATGCTTTGCTAATGACTACATTATTTTCTTGTTCTGTCTTCCTAGTTGTCTCAGGTGAAAGGTTTATACTGCACACATTTTTGAAGAGTTTATTTCTACTGCAAGCTCTGCTGCAGTGATTTCACACTGACCCTCCTCCCCCCCTCCCTTTTTTTTTCTTTTCCAGACTTTGCTCTGTAATATCTGGTTTTGAGTCAGGGGAGAGTTCTTGAACCTGCAGCTACTCTCCTCTACTGTAAAATGTCCACAGGGACTTCCATGAATGGGTATAATACTGGACTTCCAATCCAGTTTTACTTACGAGATTTTTCTTAGGTTCCCAGTTCAGAGGTATTGCATCATTTCAGTTTATTTGAAAGCCCTTAGAGCATTCCTCCTTCTGAAATTTTTTTCTCGCAAACTTTTTCCTTTTACAGAAAGATCGTTGTGAACTAAAATACTGAAAATGCTTACTGAAACAATTTGTCGTCTTCAGGTCTTGCTGTTTGTTTCAGAGTTACTGACTTTGCTACTAAGAATTGATAATGTTTTATGACTTTTCAGGACAAATCCACCACACCATACCCAAATATAGATGTTAAATCGTATTCTTTGTTAAATCATGCTGGTTTCACTGGTTTGGAAAACATAATTGAGGATAGAATCTGGTCTAATCTCGTAAGCCTGAGGCTGATGATGAGTCCAAATACATAATTATGAAACTGGAATTCCCCAAAAGTATAATTTGGAAAATAATTTATCAACAGAAGAAGCTGATAGAGGTTTTGCATTTTGAACTTGTGATCTTCTAGGTAGAGCATGTGTTAATTTGCTGTGTTTGAACATCCTGGCTGTGCAAAATGGTATCTTGCTTATTTTACAATTCGCTAAACTATGATTTGAAAACTTCTCCCTCTAGGTTATCTTGTTCTTGATAATGTTAATTATGCGCAAACGAGTAGCTCTCACTATTGCCTTGTTCCATGTGGCCGGCAAGGTCTTCATTCACCTGCCACTGCTAGTCTTCCAGCCATTTTGGACGTTCTTTGTGCTTATCCTCTTCTGGACATACTGGATCACCGTTCTGTTTTTCCTTGGTACTACAGGTAAGCAGCTACCAGGCTTATTTTAGATAAATTCCACTTTATTTTTGTATGGTTTCAGGCTGAGTTGGTTAGAAAGCACGTGGGAACCTCTGTGAAAAAAACCAAACAAACTATGCTTCTATTGTTGTCTGTTTGAGTGATTTCAAAACACTCGTTTCAATAAAGTTCTTATACATTTGAGTCTTTGCGTCCCAGTATGTTACTTTGTGCCTTAGGCCGGCTTTTTGATTTGATGCGAGTTGGCATGTTGCAAACCACAAGACTGCATAAATAAAAGTGCCATAACCATTTTTCACATAATTCCCTATAATTTTACATAAACAGGTCAAAACCAGCTAATCTTACAGCTAATTTCATAAGGTATTGTATTGTAGCCAGTACTCATACAGACGAAGGGTTGTTGCAAACATTTACTTTCTCCCAAAATATAAATATACTCAAAGTAGTGTTCAGTTGTTTATAACTTAGGTGTCCAGTATTATTTCAGCATTTTCCAGGGTTATTAGGGAGATTTTTCTGCCATTGGTACTCCATATTCTGAGAGCAGTGAATGTATTCACAATTTCTGCCTGCTGTGAACCACATAGAAAATGAGAACTTTGTGTTCAGGGTCTGACAAGAGCTTCTAGAATTAGTCAGTTCAAATCTTAGTTATTTCAGAAGAGAAACCTAGCAACTACTTTTTTAAATCAGAGCTGTCTGTGTTATTTTGCAGTAAGCTGTAGGCAATAGAGACTATCGTTCATTATTAAAACTTTAGAATTTTGAAATTTATTGTTTACTGCTGATCCAACAGTAGCAGTGTTTCAGGTCACAGAGCTATTTCAGGGTAATACAAGTAAATATTTTTTTTATTTCACAGCCTGAATTCTTAGCAAGGGATATAGGTAGTAGATTTCATGTGTTCTGTTCTAATTCTGTTGAAGTGTTTAGTTTTCATTACATGCTGTGTTATGTGCAGAAAATGTTCACCTCTGAAGGTGAGTTAAGCCTCAGTCCCATAGTTCACTATGTGAGTTAAAGACCACAGCACAGAGACCAAATTTGTAGCAAAATTTAGGCTGATACTGTATTTTTCTGACAGAAGTCTTTTGGTTTGCCTTGATTCTGCAAAGACTGATGATGCTTTTAGCTTTATATGCACTCAGTGTCTTCACTGGTTATCAGTTAAACAAAATCTTTGTGCAAATAGGGCCAGATCTTTTCAATCCAAACCTGGAGAACTGAAAAAATGTACTTTATTTGTGTATTAGAAGAAGCCTACACTTATGAAGATCTTGTGCATGAAAACAAAAGTTATTTCAGAAGTTCAATTTATTCACAAGAAAATACTACTTTTTTAATATAAACATAAAAGCATAGCTAAGAAGGTGGAGAAGGTGTTATCAATGCTAATTGTAAGAATTTTAATACTTATGTTGGTTAGTTTTGGAAATTTTCACCATGTGGCTATAAATTAAAAGAAGTGTTGCGGGATTTTGAGTGCACTCGTAATTTTTTTTAGTACTTTTTTCAAATGCCGTTATACTGATTGTCTCAAAAGCTGTATCTCTCTTACGAACAATCTTCCTAAACATGACATTTAGGAGTGTTAGTAGAAGCTGGAATGGTTCTGCTGTAGACAGTTATGAACTGCTAACACCATACGCTTCCTTCTTTCAGAGTTGATGTAAGCATCATTTCCTTTTTTACCTTCATGTATTTCTAGGTAGTCCTGTCCCAAATGAAGAAGGATTTGTTGAATTTCGGGTGGTAGGCCCTTTGAAATACATGTGGTGGTACCATGTAGTGGGACTGATCTGGATCAGCGAGTTTATCCTAGCCTGTCAGCAGATGACAGTAGCAGGGGCTGTTGTGACATACTATTTTACAAGGTAAGGACAGCTTAGACAGCTGTACTGTAAGCGGCCTAGAAATGGAATTAGAGGAAATAATGAGGGTCACAGCTTTGGGGGGGAATACTAGCTTCCATTGTGAAAGCTGGAGAGCAGTTGAATTGTACTGACTCTTTTTAAATAATGTCAAGTCCTAAAATAATCTGTTTTGCTTATTATAGATGGTATTTTTGACATTTAGGACTTGGAAGTCTCGTTTGCTTTGTAACCTGTGCACATTGTACAGACATGGATGATTGTTTACAAAGTAGAATCCACCTGGAAAATCATCTGTGATGCTAATAATTAATGCTAATAAGCTCAGTAGAGATTAAAAAATATTGAAAGCAATTGGTTATTATTTTAATTGCAAAACAGTGTCCTTTAAAGTGCTTCATTAATCTTTCTTATACAAGATTACTTGAAGTGTTTTTAGAGTCATCATTTATATAGGTTCTGACTAGATCATGTTAAAATAAGAAGCGTGCATTGAAGCTCCATCTTTCATTGCTGTATTTGTGTGCTGTGTTGTGTATCAAGGCATACATGAGGCTGGCTATGCTGCATGTGTCTGCTAGCTATTCAAGAAGGCAGTATTAAGCAATGTTTTTTTCAAGCACAAGAATTTTGCTTCACAGAGATAAGAAATTGATTTCACAAACACGAACTTAGCTTTGAGGTTTTAGTCTCTAGTATTTGAAAAGTTTTCTGAAATTACAATTGCTTAAAATTTACCTTAAGTAAGTGAAAATTAAAGTTCTGGTTTTAGCCATTTAGGACCCAGGTTTTTAAAAAGAAAAATGGTATCAGATGCTTTGTTAGTATTTAATGATAATAAATGTTACTTCAGTGATCTTAAGTATTACATTTTGGTATGTAGAGCAGACTTATGGCAATATTTTTGGTAAGGAAAAAAAGTAAGTACACTAATATCTGTTTTATAAAAGTATAGTTTAATGAAGCTTCTCCACGTCATCCTAGAACTAGTATTTCATGATACATTTTAAAAAAAAGTAAAATGATTGCTCAAGAACTAGATGAGTAATTTTATGTCAGATGTTCTCAAAGTCTTATCCAATCAATATAAATACAGCTCCTCTGCATAAAGAGCAGCATGAATAGAGGATGTTGACAATATACTTAGCAATGGTGATTTACTTAAGAAGGGAAAACCGAGATGCTGGAGTGATGCTGTCCCCAAGAAGTATCCTAAATACACATGTAGTTCAGCTACTGGTTTTTGCTATGTGTTTTTTGGCTTTTCATATGTAGAATATTGTCTATTAAAATTTCTAATGATATCTAGCAGCCACACTGTATTCTTGCCACATGCTTATAAGAATCTATTTTTTTAATGGGTTTTTTAAGTAAGACATGCAGAAATTTTTCAAGTGCATAATTCGGATCACAAATGTTTAATTGGTTTGTCTTTTTGAGACTGTTACCTAAATTACGCTTGACTCCTTATCTGCCCTAGTCTTTAAAACAACATAAAAGGCAAGGGATTACTTCACTGTGCTCACAGAAACTCTGTTTTTTTTATTAATGATGAAGTCTTCCAGTATACCAATGAAATACATCTGTGAAGTTATTACAAGATGTTACAGGGATGTAATCTTGTGAATAATTAAGCTAGATTGAGTAATGAACTAGGAAAATACAGAGGAGACAGGATAAATCTGCATTGAAATAGATCACTTAACAATGTATATGCTTCATCTGTATGTTTATATATTTTGTATCACTTGAGGGTGAATGATTTTTTTTTTAACTGTACTCTATCACTCTGTAACAGGAATTTTATTTTAAGTTAATAAGTACCCATTTCTTCCTACTGTTACCATTTTCTGCATTTTAAAGTACAATTCTAATCTGAAAAGTGACTTGGTAGGAAAGGGCATTAATTTAGACTTCCACATTATTTTGCATTTTAGCAGCTTTCCACAACAAATGAGGTGAAGTTACGGAATCACAGAATGTTAGAGATTGGAAGGGA